ATACGAAGCGTGAATTGGCAGTCAATTCACTCAATCAGCTAATCGATTTTGCGTACTGCTGATTACTGATATGTGCGGGTTTGTTGTCAGCGCTGGCAGAAACACACTTCACACTAAGCCTATCCAACAGGCAAGGCGGAACGTACTCGGCCTTTTGCCCCGGTGCGCGGCGGAAGCGAGGCTGCGGCTCTCTCTCGCTCCTCATGGTCGAACTCCACCCCAAGCCGAGTCAACCCATCCGTTAGTTCTTCTCCTACTTATTCTGTACAGAGTACAATCTCCTTCTACCTTGGCTTCCACGACTTCTATCTTCTTGTAAGGAACCGGGCCTGGAGGATCGCAGTAGTTAGGGTTTAACCGGCTTAGCCTTAACTCCTTTTGCGATAAGTCTGCAATCTCTAATGACAGGTGAGACAATTTATTTTTACACTTTCACAGGACGACAGATCTCAAAAGATACTAGTACTGAAATGAGCAGAGCGTACTAAATGAATGATATACGCTGACCACGGGACGATTCAGTCTCTGTACTCAAAGGAACATTAACCCAAAATCAAAAGCGTTGGTGACTCACCCACGCAGTTCCGCGATCTGCGTCTGCTTTTTGTTTGTAATGTCAAAAAGCTTGATGACCTCATCAGAGGAGCAGGTGGCCAAGACAGTGCCGTAGTAGTTCAGCTGGGCGTCGTGCTAAACAAAAAAGTAGACCTGGGAAAACGGCGGTTACAATAAGATCCTCGTGGCTGGTATCGATGGTCTGATATACGGAAACCTACAAGGTGAAAAGAAAGAAAAGTTGACGGAGGAGTCGCATAAAAGTTTCCGGTTTCAAAGGTCACACGAGCAAAACAAAAGGAGCGCCTTGGCCGAAGCGGAGGAAAAACCACTGCCACTGAAAATACCTTATTTTGCCCGTGTCCTTTATATGTCAGGAGTCCTTGCACAGAAGGAGGGGAGAAGTTAAAAGATCTACTTGCAAGTAATCAGGGGTTCTGGTGGATTTAAATGATTTATTTGATTCAGTTGTGAAAAACTCGGCAGCCTTAGATTCCAGACAGCAAGGAGAAGACCAAAACGCTAGCTATCCAAGCTATGAGGCCCTACCGGAAGCCAGGAGTTTAATCAGATTTGTATTGGCCCCAGCACACAACAGTGAAACGACCGAGCAGAAATTTCGGACACAGAGGTCCCTCGTTTTAAGTTCACTGGCAAAGGCGTGGAACCTAGTAAGAGCCTACAAGTGTTTGACAACGTGGAGTGGGAAAACATCCGCCAGCCGTAAGGACAAGCAAACGCTACGAGTCCAGCTGCGAGTTGATGGTGCCGGCAGAACTAGAGAATACCTTATAAGGTTGTATAATTTTTTTTAATTGCATACAATGCCTAATGAAATCTACCAGGGCTGCTTGCTGACTAGAAAATCTATACCTATAGGGTTTTTCGGCTCAGGAGTACACCGCGCAGGATGCGGTAGGTCATATCACTTGCTTCGTCCAGGCGGTGACTGCTCCGCGCAGGTCTTAAAAGGACCCAATCTCATACCAGTGGCTCTAAAAAGCTAGCACCC